ATTTCAGCTTTTGATAGGCACTGTAGGTATGTGCAGAAAGAATTGTTATTTCAAAATTAAAAGATGTAAAGGCAGCAATTAATAGCATGGGTGAGACTATGAACCATTATGCTTAGTGGAAGAAGTGAGGGTTAGGAGAACATGTACCGAAGGGCAGGTAAATGTCTCAGTTGATAAGGCACTTGCTGTACAAGCATAAGGACCTGAGTTGTGATACCTGGAGCTTGCTGGCCAGCTAGTCAATCCAAATGTGTAAGTTCTAAGTTTAGTAAGATCCATCCCAAAAAAATAAAATGGGAAGTGACTGACGAAGATATCTGACATTGTCATCTTGTCTCAACATGTGAGTACACACATGTGCATATGCAACTATATGTACTTGTGCGCACACACGAATATATTGAAATAAATAAACAAATAAATAAATAAAAATAAGAAAAATGAAAAGCAGAACAAAAGGAGGGAGGGCAGACTGTGATTAGGATGAGAGAAAAAAGAATATATATGGTATGATTTCACTCATGTGCAAGGCTTCCAAGAGGCAGACTCAATAGAAAGTAGATTCATTATTGCCTGGGAACAGACATGAGGTTTCTTGTTGGGGTGACAGAAGTGTCCTAATACTAGATGGCAGCTAGCAGGCTATTTTCTGCCCTGATTATATCAGTATATACAGAGCAGCAACTTTGCTGTCTGTTCAAGGAATTAATAACCAGGGGCTGGACATTCTGAACTCATTAGGATAACAATCACCATCTGTACTCTACAATCACAAGGCACAAAATGATAGATAACTTATTTATGCTAACAAAACATTGCCATTTATGAACTTATCAAATTAAACCACGACACAGAGACACACTGTACTGTATCAGAGAAACCAGGCCAATGGGTTTATAAAAAACACTAGCTCAATGACTGATTCAACCCTTCACCTGAAACCCACGACAAGAGGTCTGTGTGCCATGCCAGCCTTAGGTGTATTTCTGCTTAATTTTACAGTTCTTTAACTTGCTAAATTTTTTACTTTGGCTTATACATTCTAAAGGAATATATACAACTCACAACTGTAAATGAAATCACCATGGCCTCTGCCTTGGAAATCACAGAATGAAGAGCCCTTCTCTGTCCTTATGCTTTCAATTAAAAACAAAAAGAGAAAAAGGACTGATAAATTGTTAGTATGTGCTGTCAGCAATGCCATCCGTCCTTAAGAAAGCAACAGGAAAAAATGGGGGTCAAACTGGAAAAATGAGGTTTTTATAATATTTGAATTTTATTTTTAAAAATTATTTTTTAACATTCATTTATCTGGTTGGTGTGTGTACATGTGTGTAAGGGTGCATGTATGGTGGTCAAAGGACAATTTGCAGGAGCTGGCTCTGTCTTTTCATCATATAGGTGCCAGGGATTGGACTTAGGTCATCCAGGCTTGGTGGCAATGACCTTTACAATTCAGCTACCTCACAACCTCCCGTATTTGAATGTTCTAAGCATACACATATACTAGATTTATTTAAGAAAATTCCAATGGCTTGGTGGCTTTGTGGACCAGACTATTTTTTTTTTTAAATCACTGTTATATTAGCAAGACTATCAAGTTAAGTTACTTGAGGTCATGCTACTATACTATCAATGGTGCAGCTCATACATTCTCCGGTATAGTAATTTTATATGTTGAGATGGTCAAAAAAGTTTTTTTAAGGAGTAAATTTTAAAAAAAATGATTACTTTATTTCTATTTTATGTGCATTGGTGTTTTGTCTGCATGTATATTTGCATGAGGGTGTCAGATCCCCTAGAACTGAAGTTACAGACAGTTTTAAGTAAGCTGCCAGATGGGTGCTGGAATTGAACTCATGTCCTCTGGAAGAGTGGCCAGTGCTCTTACTGCTGAGCCATCTCTCCAGTCATCCAATAAAGTTTTTTACATCGAGTAAAAAAAAAAAAAAGATCTTATTCAAATATTTAAAAATAGGAAGTAACTAATTTTGGATTGAAATTACTGTTCTACAAGATGCAATCTGTAACTGGTAGCATTATAGGACTAAGAACCTGTGGCTAGACAAGTCATAGGCCATAGAAGAAAACTATTATTCTGCTAAATGGACAGAGTATTCAGCAGTCTCCTAGTGACTTATTATTGTACTCATAAATCAATGTATCTCTCAATCCTCATCAGAAAAGTTCCTTCTTATAGTCCATGATGATTAATATAGACATCCACTAGTCAGGGTACTAAGAATAAGAGACAGTATATATACAGTATCACCTCCAAGGCTCAGGAATCATTGTAGAAGAGGGGACAGCAAGAGTGAGAATCAGAGGCAACGGATGACTACAAAGAAAGCAATGCCTCTTGGACACAGCAGGGCAGTTGAACTTGTAGCAGTTATAACAGCATGCATAGGACCCGTGCAAGGGCAAGTCAGTCAAAATTCCAGCAGGAAATGAGAATTGGGCATGAAACCTACCCATACCCATAGAGTTATTAACAGTTGCTAGCTGCTGGGAAAGGGAGAAGTTAATTCTCTTAAAATTGTAGCCTGTGATAAGTAGACTGTGCTCCAGTGGAAGAAGAGCTTATGTCCAAGGACACTTGGGCAGTATAAATTGGTTTTGTTTTTTTGAGGGTCACAAAGTTGGGTAGGTCCAGAAAGAATTGAGCAGTGAATATGAACATACATGCTGTATAAAATTCTGAAAGAACTTATAAAAATTAAATTAAAAAATAGAAATCAGCTGAATCTATTTCCTAAGGCAATTGTGAGCACATCCAAAGAGTTTATACTGGCTGGGAAATATGATGGCTCATTTTAATTTATGGCCAGGCTAAAGCAATTTATAACTGCTTCCTGATTTAAGAAATCTGCTATGCACAGAAATAATTCACAAAAGATGCATAATGAGAAAATATCCAACAATCTGTGTGATTCACCTTCCCTGACCACTGTGCACTCTTCCTTCCAAATATGTATCTCTTTGCCCTGCCTTATAACCCTGGAAATGGGTCTTATAAACATCTTTCCTTTGCAAATGGGAATATTAAGGGTTATTAATAAAGCTACTAAGGGGCAATGCAGTAGGAAGTGGCTTCTTTTTCTGCTTCTGGATGTGAAATATTCCTTTACACTGTGTGATTGAAAGAAGCTGACTAGCCAATAACTGGAAAAGATAAGGTTGGGGGAGAGCCAAACAGAATGCTGGGAAGAAGGGCGGGGTCAAAGGAGTCACAAGCAGACAGAGAGAAAAACAAGATGAGCATGCTGTACTGACAAAAGGTACCAAGCCACATGACAGCACAGACAGAAATATTGGTTATCTTAAGTGTAACAGTTGGTTAGTAACAAGGCTCAGCTATGGACAAGCATTAATTAATTTATGATTAATATTAAGTTTCTGTATGATTATTTGGAAGCAGCTTTTGGGACAGAAACTTCTGCCTACATCTGGAGACTGTTTTCTTTTTTTGCTCCTGAATGTGGGACATCTGGAAACTCTATGGAGTTTCAGTAGTGAAGCTTCACAGATACCTTAGAAACCCAGTGGCATTCTAGGAGATAGAAATCCAAACAAATCTTGCCAGCACTGCAGCAGGTAGTTTCCAGTTGCCACTTGCCAGTTGTATCCTATGCTGCAGTGGCCCAGTAAAACCTCTCTAACATCACTGTCTGAGGAGAGGCCTTCTTCCAATTCTACTTATGTTTTGGGCATCCAGACTTAGTCCTATGGGTAGTAGCTGCTCCTTGTATTCCATTCCTGCATACATTAGAATTCTCTTTATTTTAGTAGTTAATTATTAATAGTTCTTTGCATTTAAACATTCTTGAGATAGGTGTGATGCCTTTAATCTCAGTACTTGGTAGGCAGAAGGCAGATCTTATGAGTTTGAGGCCAGCCTGGTCTCCATTGCTAGTTCCAGGTCAGACGAGGTTACATAGACCTTGCCTCAATTATCCCCTAAAACCAAAACCAAACATCTTTCCCTGTTTAAATGACTGATAGGCTTTTGGCTCCTATGTAAACTTTGGCAACTGGCCTAAAGTCAAAGCAAATTCATAAATGTAAGTTTTTATTATTAAGTTTAACAATGCAGAGAAAACAGTATTAGCTAACTTGTTAGCTTGCTGTCTCCTGTAGCTGACTGGTGCAGGTGACTCAATATTAAGTCAGATATGGTCACCGTTTGGTTCCTATTGCTTATTTTAGAGAAATGTACTAAATGTATCATTCAGCACATGAATCTTGAGAGGGAGAAAGAGAGAGAGAGTGTGTGTGAGAGAGAGAGAGAAAGAGAGAGAGAGAAGAAGAGAGAGAGCACTTGCTAGATTTGTTTCTAAGAGTTAAGGCTGGCAAGATGGCTCAGTGGATAAAGATACTTGCCACCAAGCCTTATGACCTGAGTTTAACCCTCAGAACTGACATGGTGGAAGGACAATTAGCCTTTGCAAGCTGTCATCTGCACACCATGGCATGAACTTACTTGCTCACTTACCTACCCCCACACATACACAAGCATGCAAAGTAAATGATGTCATAAAAAGTTAGAGCTAATATTTTATGTGATGGCATGAACAACAGAGTTATAATAAAGTACAGAATTAGGAAAAAAAAAACCCTTTGGACAGTCCAGAAAACTGACAGCAAATTCTATGTTCTGTCTCCATAGATATCATTCATTCATTCACTAAGTATACAGTAATAGTAGCCTGGCTTCATGGGGTTTACTTTCTGTGGCAGGGTGAACCTACCCATAAATCAATCTAGAATAGACTTTAGGCTGTTGTAAGGAAAGTGAAGCTGGCTGGAATGGGTGGGGTGCTGGACCAAAAGATGATGATGACTTGTTTGATATTACACTTCCTATACATGCCATATGATAAATGCTATCATTAATATAATTACAGGTGTGTCTTTAGGGGACATAATGCCATGAGAAATCAAACAAAATACATATATGTAAATCATATCAAGTTTATGTATAGACCAAAAAAACTTACCCTATAGAAAGCACTGGTAAGAGGGAGTAGTGCTGCAGCAATGTTATATTCTTCTAAACTTGAACAATCCTTAAAGAAAACAAAGGCAAATGAACATCATTAGAATCTTTATCAGAATCACTTGTTATGTATGCCATACCAGGTTTGGGCTACATTGTCAACCTGTGAAAATTTTTCATTTTATTCCAAGTTGTTACTAAGGCATAGTTGGGTAAGTCCAGGGGAAAATATTGTCCCTAAAGCATATTCATTTTGAAACAAAGTATAAACACACTGGGAAGAATATGACTTTTATGTTTTACTGAATTTGAGAGTCTGTGTTAAAAGATGTTTTAATAAGTCAGAAACTTTTAGAAGGGATTTTCGATAGACCCAATATATTTCACTGGGTCAAGGATTTTTTTTCCCCACATGCTTAACTATCTTTCATATTGGTGTGTACTTTATAACTGGTTACAAGCACCAATTTTCTTTCTCAGGGTTATATAAAAAGCTGAAACTTACTGCATTGTTGGGGAACAGAATAAAAAACTCCTAATGGAAAGATCAAAATGGTGCAGATGCTGAGGAAAAGTGGTAATTTTTTTTTTTTTTTTTAAAAAAAGGTAAAACAGAGCTACTATACTGGATTTGAAATCAGTGCATATATAAAAATGTATATATGTATATGAAATTACTGTAAGTTCTAGCTTATCAACATCTTGATAGGAACCTAAAGAACCAAATGTAAGAACTGGGGCTGAGAGACTCCACAGTGCTTAGACCTGAATTTGCTTCCCAGCATCCACATGGCAGTTCACAGCTATCTTTAACTCTAGTTCCAGGGAATTCAATGAACTCTTCTGACATCCATGGCCACCTCATGGAAAGGATATTATCAGAAGAATGAACAGATTGTCAATAGGACAGCAGAAAAGGTTTGCCAGTTTTGTTTTAGACAGGAGGTTCGTATCTAGACTGTATAGTGAACTGTAAAAATCAAAGTACCAAAATCAAACTCTCAGTCAATAAACAGAGCAAAATCACAACAGTTTACAAAAGAAGAAATACAGATGGTTAATATATATATGTTTTGGGGCTGGAGAGATGGCTCAGTGGTAAATAGCACTGGCTGCTCTTCCAGAGGTTCTGAGTTCAACTGCATAAAACTGTAGTCCTATGGGACCTAATGTCTTCTTCTGCAAACAAAACAGATAAATTAATCTTAAAAATAAAACCCCAAATCCCTAAATGAAGTATTCAACATCCACAGACATCAGGAAAATGCAAATTATAACTTTGAGATCCCAATTAGAATGGCAATCATCAAATAAATTACAATGCTGGAAAGGCTATAGGGAAAAAAGGAACCATTATTCACTTCGTTAGAGGGCAAACTAGTACAACCACTATGGAAATCAGTGTAGAGCTTTCTTAAAACAAAAATAGAGCTACCATTAATTGTGATGATATTTTGTTTATGACCTAACAAATAACGCTTGCCTGAAGATCAGAAAAGCAAAGTGGCTAGCCATTAGCTCTTACCTCTACCTCAGACTAAAGGGTTGATCCTGTCTTCAGATTCCATCTATAGACTTCACTGCTCCCCAGACTCCTGCCAGACTGCAGTGAGCTCCTGTCTCTGCCCACCTTATATTCCTCTCTCCACCCAGCCATGTCACTCTTGTCTTCACCTCCCTAGGGCTGGGATTAAAGGTGTGTGCTGTTTCTCTTTTAGACTGATTCACTTTCCTATGGCTCAGGGTGGCCCTGAACAGAGGTCTCCCTCTGTCTCCTGGGTGCTGGGATTAAAGGTGTGTACCACCACCACCAGGCCTCTATAGATAACTAGTGTGGCTGTTGGGATTAAAGGTATATGCCACCACTGTCTGGCCTCTATGGCAAACTAGTGTGGTTAGCTTTGCACTCTGATCTTGAGGTAAGCATTATTTGTCAGATCATAAACCAAATATCGCCATAATCAATACCCTAGCTATATTTATTACTCCTAGACCTGTACCCAAAGTATTCCATACCTTACCACAGATACTTGCAAAACCCATGTTTATTGCTACTCTATTCTCACCAGTAAGGAAAAGGAATTAGCCTAAAATGTTCACAACAGATGAACAGGTAATGAAAGCATGGTGTACATATAAATACTAGCATTTTATTTGGTTATGAAGAAAAATGAAATTGTGAAAATTGCAAGAAAATGGATGGAACTGAAAAATATTAAGTGAGGCTGTTGTAATTCAAGTAAACCTAGCCCCATCCCTTGGGAACCTGGAACACTGTTACCCTCTACCTTAGCAGGCAGTACCTTGGTCCTGTATGCAGATGTGAAGGCCCCTTTAAGAGACAAATTCTGCCTATTTTTTCTCTCTGTTTCTGCCATTTCTCCAGGGAGGCAACTGTCTGTCCCTTTGTCTCTCTTCTCTCCCAATTCTCCCTTCCTGTCTCTTACTCCATTCCCTTTCCCCAATAAGCTTTCCACATAAATTATGTCTGCAGGTCTCTCTCACCCACTGTTTGTAGCACCCCCACCAAGGGATCTGCCAAAGGTCCCACCTCATGCCATATCATAACAGAGGTAGAACAGACTCAGAGAAACAAATACCATATGTTCTCTCATACATACATACATGGATCCTAACTTCATATACATACATACATATATATTATATATATGCACACACATGTATACATACACACACTCACACACATATATGTATACATACACACAACACATACATACATATCATGAAATTAAAAAGGAGAAGACAAGAGGCCTGCCATGTTGTTTTATGCTCTCTGTGAGAATCTGTGTTGGAATCTAGATATTGGTTGTATAGATAATAAATTAGAATGAGTGATCTTTGGCTTTAGATCAAAATGAGCTTTAGCTAGAAAAGAGGTAATTATTGGAACTATTATAGTAATGCCTCTCCTTCAGACACACATGTGTCAGGAGACAGGAGGGGAGATGAAGAAAAACAATCAAGGAGAATAATAAAATCAACTGAATCAAAGATGAATTTCACGGCCTGCCTTGTGCTCATAAGACCTTGAACCTTAGTACCCACAGCACATAGACAGGAAGATGACTTTGAGGCTAAGTTGTTATGTTGGAGTCATGTTTAGGTTTTTGTTTTAAAATATAGTTAGGCCACACAGAAAAACCCTACATGGTATCACTAATGGCCTTCATCATCTCTATAAATCTTATAAAATAATCTAGGAACACAGCAAAAACTGTTTATCTTTTCCCTCTTGACTATTCTTTATCCTCCTAGGATACTGCTATGTTCAAGAATGTCATCTATGTCCCCGCACATCTGAATTTCTTTAACAGAAATGCCTTGCATGTTTCTGAAGACTGTCATGAGGCCCAAGGCAATAAAGTTCAACAGACTTGAGCTGTAATCTTCTCCCAAGGAAATGGTTGGGATGCCAAGATGCCTTTTGACTTTGATTTCACAGCAGGGCTTCATTTGTAATGATGCTGTCCAAACTTTAAATGACAACAGCTGTGATATGAAGCTCTACATACTCATTTATAAAAATTTCCCACAAATTAAAAAAATTAAAGAATGGGAGTATTTTAATCTATGACCAATTAGCAGAGACTCAGCAACCATAAAATATTTAGATTAGAAAGAGCTATTTATTATTTTACAAAATATTTACACATTGTAGTTAATGTCTAAAAACTGTGTTTGCCACTCAAACACTGATTGCAAAATATAAATATGAAATTCTTTGCAAATCATGTTAGAGACATTAATTAAGTTGAAAGATGGAAAAATTCTAAAACAATAAGACTACAGCTATTGACACAGCAATTGCATTCCAGAATAGTGCAGTTATCTATTGGGGGATCAGCTCATAAATACACATTCTGGAGTCCCCTGTGCTTTGGCTACATAATAGCACTGTAGCTATAAACATACCAGACAATTTATAAACTTGCAAGGACTAAAATATTTATACATGCTGTATTCTCAACTCCACTATGTAATTCACCTTTAATTTTCCTATTACAATTAGAGAATGAGCTCTGCAATCTCAATTCCCATTTATCCTTAAACACTTAATACTTTTAACAACCTGCTTACCTTTGAACTGTTTTAGCCAACATTCCTGTTTCATAAAACCATGGGTTCTCTCAAAATCGTTACATTTAAACATTAAGAATAAGAAATGAAAATCAAAGGTACTGCTTGTTTATGGAGCTAACTATAGAACTGAGGCTATGTAGCTCCAGAAAAATGAAAAATAAAATAGCTGTGAATTGTTCAAAGTATTAAAAATATGCACATCTTCTACAAAGGGACTAAAACCAAAAATACCTCTTTATATTACAATAGTCTACTGTTCACAAGTCTTAGTTATGTTTTGATGGTCACAGAATAATAACCAGATTGTCCTGTCAGGTTTGTAAACATGGTAGAATCATGAGGTCATGTGGACCCATCTCTAAAACCATATGACCATTAGCTCTAGGGAGTCAGCTTTATTTACATCTATTGCTAAAAATTTTCTTCCTACAGGATCCATTGGAGCAATCATCGTCCCATTTCAGCAGGAAGTAATCTTAAAATAACGACGCCCCCTTTCCCTACCCTTGGAATTTTGAGATAATAGTCATCGTCTTTGGGTTGGTTTTAGTTATTTGGGATTGGGTGATGCTTACAATTGGGTTATCTTTTAGACAGAAATAGGGAATGGTTGGGAAAGGTATGGTTTAGATGGGATATAGGTAGATTAGCCTATTTTCTTGAGAATTTGAGTAAGAATAAGATAGTATTTTACAGCTTACATTGTTGTGTATTCTTATGTGGTAAGCTATGTAAAATTAAGTTTATATTTTGTTATATTGTGTTAAATCTTTCCACTTACAATGTTTTATGCACATTATTTTTTACCATATTCTATGTATGTATACTTTTCTTGTATTCAAGACATTTTGTATATTGATACAATTTGGGATATTTATCTTGCTGCCCTTTATAGTTCTACCTCTTGTCTTGACACTTATACTCTACCTCTATTTTAGGGATTTACATGTATGTATATGTAAATAGTTA